TCTAAGAGCTGTAGCTGCAGCCGCCCTGCCTAGTAGCTGAAGCCGATAAACTCACTCTGGGTCAAGAACTTTATGTACGAGTTCCACATGCAGTACAGACGTTGTTGGATTACAAAGGAAATCATTGGTTTAGTAACAGCCGTATGACCAAGTATCAAGCAATGTTGTGTGAAAACCCAAGAGTGCATTTAGAGACTGTAAATACCTTAAATCCAGCTACCCTTTTGCCACAACCTACTGAAAGTCAACATGATTGTTTGGAAGTAATGGATGAAGTATTTTCAAGTAGACCAGATCTTCGTGATTTTCCCATCCAGAACCCTGATGTTCAATATTACACCGACGGCAGTAGTTATGTAAAAGAAGGGATCCGCTATGCAGGATATGCAGTAACAACGATAGACAAGGTGATAGAAGCTCGGCCACTGGCAAAAGGAACATCAGCACAAAAGGCGTTACAATTGGCTGAAGGTTTAAGAGTGAACATCTACACGGACTCCAAGTATGCGTTTTTAACCACTCATGCCCACGGAGCTTTGTATAAAGAAAGAGGACTATTGAATTCAGAAGGCAAAGAAATCAAATACGCAGCTGAGATCCTACAACTATTGGAAGCAGTGTGGGAGCCTAAAGAAGTCGGTATTATACATTGTCGGGCGCATCTGAGAGGAGATGGTGATGTAACCAAAGGGAATCGGATGGCAGATAGTGCAGCTAAGCGTGCTGCTGAATCAGGAAGACAGGAATATGTGGGGCATATAGCTGCTCTTATACCAACTCCACTGTCTCAATGGACTCCAATTTATACAGCTCAAGAAGAGGAGTGGTTAAGGACTGAACCTGGAAAGTATTTGGAGAACAAATGGTATCAGTTAGAAGATGGAAGAATAGTTATTCCAGCATCACTAGCGGTAGAAATTGTCCAAAACTATCATAACGGGACACATTCTGGGAGAGACAGTACAGAAGAATCTCTCAGAAAACATTTCTACATACCAAGATTGTCCAACTTGACTCAGGCCATTGTACGTAGATGTGTAACGTGTGCTAAAAATAATGCAAGACAAGGACCAGTAAAGCCACCAGGAGTCCAGTTTATGGGGGGACTTCCCATGTCCGATTTACAAATTGACTATACAGTGATGCCTAAATCGGGTGGACATCGCTACCTTCTGGTAGTGGTGTGCACCTATTCAGGCTGGGTAGAAGCATGTCCTACTCGTACAGAGAAAGCAGGAGAAGTCGTGAGATTCCTGCTACGAGAAATAATACCCCGATATGGACTACCCTGCTCTATAGGATCGGACAATGGTCCAGCTTTTGTTCATCAGTGCCTACAACAACTGACTCATATGCTTGGTATAAAGTGGAGGCTTCATACGGCATATAGACCCCAGAGTTCTGGTAAGGTAGAGAGAATGAATAGAACTATTAAGAATCAGTTGGCTAAAATGTGTCAGGAAACCCAACTTAAGTGGAACGTTCTCTTGCCCATAGCTCTATTGCGAATCCGTAGTACACCTACCAGAAGGATGGGCCTCTCTCCTTTTGAAATCATGTACGGGCGACCACCTCCCGTGCTTGGTAACTTAAGGGGGGATTTGAGTCAGTTGGGAGAAGGAATTACCCGGCAGCAGGTTGTAGAGTTGGGTAAGACTATGGAGGAGGTACAGAAATGGGTACAAGATAGATTACCTGTGAATATTTATCCCCCAATTCATAGTTACCACCCAGGCGACCAAGTGTGGATTAAAGAGTGGAATAATGTGCCGTTAGGGCCCAAGTGGAGAGGTCCTTATGTTGTTCTTCTGTCTACCCCTACAGCGATAAAAGTAGCCGAAGTGGCTCCGTGGATACATCACTCCAGGGTTAAACCAGCAGCAGCCGATTCCTGGCAAGTTACAGCAAATCCAGAGAATCCCTGCAAGATCCGGTTAAAACGCACGACTCAGTCGGAGTGACAAGGAACCTTGTGGATCACAAATTTTATTGTTTCAGAGACTTGGTAAGTGAGTGAGAAGGCCATAATAAAGCCTGTCCACTCACCAACGAGTGTATAAGTCAGGGAAAGTCTTGAGGGGACCCCTGTGAAGACGAGCAGAACTCCATTCCCTGCAGCCCTTACATCCTGGAAGCTGAGGTGCCTTCGCACGGACGAAGACTGAGGATGACGACGAAAGATGTATTTTTAATAATGTTTATTTATGTGTATTTTTATATTCAGGAAGGTAGAGGTACCGACACTCCTAGCTGTGAGGTATGCATTAAGACTACAAGAACAGGTAACCATATATCCCAGACCCTAATTTGGCATTCGCAATATGAGTGTAAAGGAGATGTATCAAGATGTAGATACTTAAATATAGAATATAGTGTGTGTCATTTAGGAGTAGGAGAACCTAAGTGCTTCAGTCCTGAGTATCAACCCCGTACAATTTGGTTGACTCTCAGAAATGGAGATCCTCAGGGAACCCTAATTAATAAGACGGTATTAGAATCCGTATATTCTTCAGGTGCTCTGCTATTTGATGCGTGTAAAGCAATATCAAGTGGTGGAAAGCCGTGGAATGTATGTGGGGATCTTAGATGGGAGAGGACGTATGGGTCTAACGATAAATATATTTGTCCCAGTAGTAAAAATAAATATGTAAGTCCAAGATGTCCAAATAGAGATTATAACTTCTGCCCATATTGGTCTTGTGTGGGGTGGGCGACTTGGGGACAGACAGTAGACAAGGACATGATTGTGACTAAGTTGCCTATTGATCCATATTGTAAGTCTATGGAATGCAATCCAATCCATATACTTATAAGTAACCCTGACAAGTTCTTAGATAAATATGGTAATTTATTTGGGTTTCAAATATATGGGACGGGTTTAGACCCTGGGACAATATTGTTTATAGGGATAGAGACTGATACGGTAACCTCCCAAACTCATCAAGTATACCATTCCTTTTATGAAGAGATGAGCATAGATAATAAGATCCCCCATAATGCTAAAAACTTGTTCATTGATTTAGCCGAGAGTATTGCCGGTAGTCTTAATGTTACCAACTGCTATGTGTGTGGAGGTACTAACATGGGAGACCAATGGCCTTGGGAAGCAAAGGAGGTAATGTCCGGTTCTAAGGCAGTTGACCAATTAATATCTATACAAGCCGACTATCATATGAGTGTTAGAGGTAAATCTGAGTGGAGATTGAAGACCTCCATCATAGGTTATGTTTGCATAGCGAGGAAAGGAATGATGTATAATACTTCTGTAGGAGAATTAACTTGTCTAGGGCAAAAAGCTTATGATGATGATACAAAGAATACAACTTGGTGGTCGGCTTCAAATGTCTCAGAACCATCTAACCCGCTTGCAAGATATGCCAATTTAAAGGACGTATGGTTTGATCTATCCATCACATCTAACTGGAGAGCCCCAGCGAATTTGTACTGGATCTGTGGTAAGAAGGCCTATTCGGAGTTACCACAGGACTGGGAAGGGGCATGTGTGTTGGGTATGTTAAAACCATCCTTCTTCTTGTTGCCTATTGAAACAGGTGAGACTTTAGGTGTTAAAGTGTATGATGTGAATCATAGGAAGAAAAGGGGACCCATAGAGATAGGTGCCTGGGAAGATAATGAATGGCCTCCCCAGCGTATTATAGATTATTATGGGCCAGCCACGTGGGCAGAGGATGGTACCTTTGGTTATAGAACCCCTATTTATATGCTCAACCGCATTATAAGGTTACAGGCGGTGGTTGAGATCATTACTAACGAGACATCACAAGCGCTCAATCTTCTAGCGAAGCATAATACCAGGATGAGGACAGCAGTCTACCAAAATAGATTAGCCTTGGATTATCTTTTGGCAGTAGAGGGAGGTGTATGTGGGAAGTTTAACCTGAGCAATTGCTGTCTTCAAATAGATGACGAAGGGCAAGCAATAGCTGAGCTTACTAGCCATATGGTTAAACTAGCGCATGTGCCTACTCAGGTATGGAAAGGGTACAATCCAAGTAGTTGGTTTGGTAGCTGGTATGAGTGGTTTGGAGGGCTTAAGGCAGTGGTAGGTGGAGTCCTACTGATTTTAATGTTGTGTCTACTCCTGCCGTGTCTTATACCCTTAGTAGTTAGGTCTGTGCAAAGCCTGATAGAAAATATAGCAGAGAGGAAGGCTGCTGCACAGATAATGGCAATTTATAAATATAAGGCTCTAGATCAGGGAGAACTAATGCAGGAAGATGAGTGTTGAAGATTCACATCATAGGATAAGTCTGGTCTGGTTCAAAGGTAACTTGTGGTGTATGTAAACCAAGGTTAAGTGATGCCTCAAGTAATTGTAAAATATCAAGAGGCATCAAAGGGGGGAATGTGGTGGAATCTCGGTAAAAATAAATTTAGTAGGCCGAGATTACCACATGGCATGTGTACGTGCATATGCTGACGTATCGATCAGTTGGTTGCACGAGGCAAGATACGATCAGTAGTGTACGGAGCATGTGCAAGAATACAGGATGTAGTATTCCCCTCCTCCATTGTGCTGGACAAGCCATGCGGTCAAGCAGGAAGTTAATTCTTATTTGTAATGATTGGTCAAGAGAATGTGCGGGTGGAGCTTAATATGGGAGGAGTTATGTGCCTATATAGGGAGCCTGCACTATTGTTCAGGGCTCAGAACTTGCTGTATTTTTGGTGACATTAGTCCCTCTGAGTCCCGATCGGTGATCCAATAAAGAATCTCTTCCTTCCTGAAGAAACCTGTGTCCATCCCTCTGTGCTTTGCTTCCGTCAGTTTCTCCGGTATCAATACTGTTAGCCACCCTTCTGTTAGCTAACCTTTTGTGTCCAGGAGGGTGACTTGTTTGGGGTCCTGGTGCTGTTGGCTAAGATGTGAGGGACAGAGGGAGTATGAGATTCCGCAGCAACTCACTCCTGCCTCTCTTCCCTCTGCTGACTGTGCCTCCTACCGCGTGACGCTCTCTCCTTATAGCTAGGTGGAAGTGATCGGTTGTCACTTGCTCCCTGTCGGACGGTATTACAGGGGCCTAGTCACACTTTTAAAGGGCAGTGGGGCCCGACTGAGCTCCTGTTCAGCGATACCAACCGTGTGGTCCTAAATGCATTGGACACCCGATAAGCCCCTCTAAATTGCTGCAGGCCCATGGGGCAGCTGCTTTCGGCCACCCGGGAGTAACTGGGCCAGGGGTAGCTGCCCCATTTATCCTGTGTTAAAGATGGCCCTGCAGGACTGCCTCAAACTATAGCATTTTAATTCCGATGCACTTATCTATGCCCTTAAACACACATTACTGTAAATTATTCTGTGAAGCTCTGGTATAAATCCAGATACAACAAGAATACTTTGTTCCTGCAGAAAAAGAGGGACAGCGGGATAAAAAATGATTTAAAAAAAGAGGGACAACGGGATAAAAAATGAACTGGAGAATTTGGGCCCACTATTAGAGACACTATAGGGACAGCAGGAAAGTATGCAACTTCCTAATATGCAACACAGCCGGCATTAAAATGTAAAACAAACTGCGTGGCTCAGTTACTAAAGTATATATCAGCCCTTTTTCCTATTAATCCCTGCAACGAGCACATTAACTCCTCTTTCTCCCCTTTAACTAGGCTGGACTATCCCAGTGTGGCCCTCATAGAGAAGTTATGGGAAATGTGAGCAAGTCCTACATAGGATCACTTGGAAGGCACATTAACTGAACTTCAATGTATAACAAATTGTTTAAATTTCCCTTTAAACAAACAAGAGGCGCTGATCCTTTCAATGTTTACATTTGAAAAGCTTTATTTTCAAACTAGGTCACGTTTAAGGTTGCGGCCCCTTTAAGGAACGCTGGGGAACAAACAGAGACATCGCAACCGGAAAAGGCGTTACCTTTTGTTTGCCCTGAGTGACGGCCGCGCCGGCCAATGGAGTGTTCGTTTCTCTGTTAGCGGCCAATCGGCGTGCAGCTTGGGGAGGGAGTTCCGTTGTCAAGGTGCTGGCGGCTCGGTGGTTGGTAAGTGACAGGCCCCGGCATGGTGAGCGCACACTCCGGCCGGGTTTAATGTGACAAAGGCGGCGGCATGAACGGCTTCAGCACCGAGGAGGACAGCAGGGACGGGCCGCCCGCTCCCACAGCCCCCTTCTTCGGGCAGATCTGCTGCCTGATAGACGGCGGGGAGCGCTGTGCGCGGCCGGCGGGGAACGCGTCCTTCAGCAAGAGGGTCCAGAAGAGCATCTCCCAGAAAAAACTCAAACTGGACATCGACAAGAGTGTGAGTGAGCTCCACCGCGGGCACCGGCACACAGAGACACAGAGAGAGACACACACAAAGAGAGACAGACACACACACAGAGACACAGACACACAGTATGTGCCCAGCAATGACAACAAAGGGGGGGGAAATGAAGGGGTAGATATATTTCAATTACCCCCTTTTTTTTTTTCCTTCTTTTTTTAAAATGTTGATAAAGACTCCTCCATGTCTTCATAGAATACACATTAATATCTACAGATATATAAACTACAAATAGCGTAATACAGTAAAAAAAAATTAAATAATTGGGACAGACTTGTTGTTCTGTAAAGTTCCTGTCTCCATTCTGCACTCAGCAATAATTCAATACATTTGTTGCGGGTGCATTGTAAAGGGAATGGCAGGTTATAGTTTGAAATAACCCAACTGGAAATCACTGCTGACTAGGACATGGTTGTTTGTTTTTACATTATTATTTTGGGCTAAGATTTGGCATTCCCTTTGAATTCACATTTTAGTAAATAGCTCTGCTAGTATCTCGGTCTTACAATGATGCCGCTGTAATACGTGCATTGGGTTCTTCACTGATTTCAGAATTGCAGAGAATTGAAATTCAGACTGCAGATTTTAGAGAAGCATAACTGATTTGGATACATTCTCCTACTCCTCTATAGACAGTTTGGTTTTATTAGCCTCACATTTACAATTCAAATTTAGTTTGCTAAAACTCATAGTTCAGTTATTCTCACAGTTTTACAGACCTGCTGCAACGCTAAAACTTTAGTGCTGGGATTAACCCAGTGGATCAGGACCTACATTTGAGACTATTTTGCTCATTTAGTTTGTTACTAGTTGAAACAGGCACACTCCGTAATCCGTCCTCAAGACAGCTCACAGTAAATTTGGTTTCTTTAAGGTCTCTGCTTTCTCCCATTTCAATAGGCCACACTGATACAGTGAAGAGGCTTATTATTATTATTATTATTATTATTATTATTGCCATTTATATAGCGCCAACAGATTCCGTAGCGCTTTACAATATTTTGAGAGGGGGGATGTAACAATAAATAGGACAATTACAAGAAAACTTACAGGAACAATAGGTTGAAGAGGACCCTGCTCAAACGAGCTTACAGACTATAGGAGGTGGGGTATTAGAAACATTAGGACAAGAAATATCAAGTAGGAGTGAAGCAGAGCTGGAGGAGAGAGCAAAGCACTGTCCCATAGGAAAGAGCAGGAGACAGGTATGTAAGGTTGAGATTACTCTGGGAGGCCATAAGCTTTCCTGAAGAGATGGGTTTTAAGGCCCTTCTTAAATGATTGAAGACTAGGGGAGAGTCTGATGGCAGTAGGCAAGCTATTCCATAGGAGAGGTCCTGCAAGCGCGAGTTGGCCGTACGGGTGCGAGCAGCTGTCAGGAGGTGGTCACGGGCAGAGCAGAGGGTATGAGGAGGGGCATATCTGTGGATTAGTGAAGAGATATAAGTGGGGCTAGAATTGTTCAGTGCTTTAAATGTATGGGTTAGCACTTTGAATTGACTCCTATAGCATACAGGGAGCCAATGTAAGGACTGGCAGAGGGGTGAGGTGTGAGAGGACCGACTAGAGAGGAAAATCAGTCTAGCTGCAGCATTCATTACAGACTGTAGCAGGGCAATACGGCTTTTGGGGAGACCAATCAGGAGAGGGTTACAGTAATCCATGCGGGAAATTACTAGAGCATGGACAAGCTCCTTGGTAGCATCTTGCGTAAGAAAGGGGCGAATGCGGGCTATGTTTTTGAGTTGGAACCTACAGGACTTGGCAACAAACTGGATGTGAGACTCAAAGGTGAGACCAGAGTCAAGTATGACGCCGAGACAGCGTGCTTGCAGGGATGGACTTATGTGGATATCACTGACTTGAAGGGAGAGCGAGAGAGGAGAGAGGAGGAAAGACAAGGAGTTCAGTTTTAGAGAGGTTAAGTTTCAGAAAGCGTGAGGACATCCAGTCAGAGATGGAAGAAAGGCAAGCAGTGACACGTGGCAGGGGAGAGGTCCGGGGAGGAGAGGTATATCTGAGTGTCATCAGCGTACAGGTGGTAGTGGAATCCAAAAGAGGCAATATGTTTACCAAGAGAAGCAGTAAAAAGAGAAAATAGAAGGGGACCAAGGACAGACCTTTGGGGAACTCCAACCGAGACAGGACGAGGGGAGGAGGTATCTTTGGAAAAGGAGACACTGAATGAGCGTTGGGAGAGATAGGAGGAAAACCAAGAGAGGACAGAGTCATAGAGACCAAGCGATTGAAGAGTTTGAAGGAGGAGAGCATGATCAACGGTGTCAAAGGCAGCAGAGAGGTCAAGGAGAATTAATATGGAGTAGTGACATAATAGTTTTCTTTATTAACATAACTGTTTTTTTAAAAAAAAGTAACTGAGGTAATTTTTAAAATTAAAGAATGGAATGCCCAGATGTTATGTACATAATTGAAGTTCCTGTCAGAAAAAGTTAAAAATCACTTTTAAACCATCCTTTCATATGCAGTACCCACAGGGCCAGATTTATATCACATGCACCCATGGGCATAGAATTCTCATGCACCTTCCATTCCAAACTAATAAAACCAAAACTTGAGTTTTTGAATTATAAAAATGTGTATACACCTCCACACACGTAGAGTGTGTGTTTGTAACAGTGTTGGTAAATGTATGTATGTGTAGCTGTGTGTCTGTGTACATGTAATTTCTGAGTGGCTCATTCTTACCCAAGTCCTTCCCCCTTCTCCTGGCAAGTCTTTTCCCCTCTCGCTCTTGCACATCACTGTGTTCAGTCTGAGGGGACGAGGCCATGCTCATATCATGCTCCCTCTGACTTTTTATACAGCAATCACAGAGTACCCAAACTGACAAACATTTTGTCGCCCTGTACAATGACACTCTACATGGTTATTCATTAAAGCAGGAGTAGACAACCTTTGTCATTCCAGATGTTGTGGACTTCATCTACCCTGATATATATATTTTTTTCTTTTCAGCATTAGTGCAGATGTAGTCCACATCATGTAGAGATCCAAAGGTTGCCTTCCTCTGTATTAAAGTGTGAATTTGTGGTCAAAACGGCTCGACTGAAAGATTATATTAATTTTTATTTTTTTTTATTTGCTATTTTAGCTTAAAGGTGGATAATAATTTTAATTTCATATTAAGTCAACGTCAGTCAACGTCAGCTGATTGCTCTAAGCCAATCACCTAAGCCCTCTGCTGAGTGGAGGCAAAGAGCAGAGCCTGACAGACCTCAGGTACAAAGTCAAACCATTCTAAATTGATTTGACTTCTTATAATGGGGTGGTGGTTGTTGATGCCTGCATATGTTTTGTTTGTTGCATTTTAGAAAGAGTTGTAAACATCTTACAGATACAACAGGAGTTGCTATAGTGTGTGTATATATAATTTATTTATTCTATTTCAGGTACGGCATCTTTACATTTGTGATTTTCACAAAAACTTTATACAAAGTGTCCGAAACAAAAGGAAGAGGAAAACTAGCGATGATGGAGGAGATTCTCCAGAGCATGACACAGATGTTCCTGAGGTGATTTACACATTGATAGGCCTAACATTCTTCAGACAGTAACCATTTTAACCCCTTAAGGACTGGACTGTTTTTGCGATGTTGTACATTTGCGACCAGGCATATTTTTACACTTTTGTGGTGTTTGTGTTTGGCTGTAATTTTCCGCTTTCTTATTTACTGTTCCCATACAAATTATATATTGTTTTTTTCAGGACAAAAGGGGCTTTCTTTACATACCATTATTTATACAATCTCATGTATTTTAATTTAAAAAAAATACAAAAATCTGATGAAAAATTGAAAAAAATACATGTTTTTTGACTTTTACTTGAAAAATCTTTTACTCATCTACAAAAGCGAATGAAAAAAACTGCTAAATAGATTCCAAATTTTGTCCTGAGTTTAAAAATACCCAGTGTTTACGTGCTTTTTTGCTTTTTTTTGCATGTTATAGGGCTATAGGTACAAGTAGGATATTGCAGTTTCAAAACATACATTTTTAAAATTTATCAATAGTGACATTGTAACACTATTATCTGTCATAAATCTCTGAATAACACCCCACATGTACATATTTTTTTTAAAGTAGACAACCCAGGGTATTCAATATGGGGTATGTCCAGTCTTTTTTAGTAGCCACTTAGTCGAAAACACTGGCCAAAGTAAGCATTCATATTTGTTTGTGTGTGAAAAAAGTAAAAAAACGAAATTGAACGCTAATTTTGGCCAGTGTTTGTGACCAAGTGGTTACTAAAAAAGACTGGACATACCCCATTTGCAATACCTTGGGTTGTCTTCTTTTGCAAATGGTATGCCATCATGGGGGTAATTCTCATTCCTGGGCTACCATACGCTCTCAAAGGCAACGTAACCAACCTGGCCATTTTCAATGTAAAAATATTTGACCCATATATTTGACCTTGTAACTTTCAAAAATGCTATAAAACCTGTACATGGGGGGTACTGTTTTACTCGGGAGACATCGCTGAACACAAATATTAGTGTTTAAAAACTGGAAAACGTATCACAACAATTATATCATCAGTAAAACTGCTGTTTGTGTGTGAAAAATGCAAAAAAAGTAACTTTCACTGACAATATCATCGCTGTGATATGTTTTACTGTTTTGAATCACTAATATTTGTGTTCAGCGAAGTCTCCCGAGTAAAACAGTACCCCCCATGTACAGGTTTTAGGGTGTCGTAGAACGTTACAGGGTAAAATACAGTGCTAGCAAATTAAATTCTCTGGAATTTCGGCCTGGGTTGGCAGGCAGGTCCCTCAAATTGCAATCAATAAAATTACTGAATTATTTAAAAATATTACATAAATACGCACGTAGAATTTAAATATATATGCATATTTATATATTTGAAGTCTACGTGTATATTTATATAATTATTTATGTAATTTTGTATATGGGCGTATGTATATTTCTTATTATTTTTATTTATTTTTATATACATAGATATATATACAAATTCATTTTAAGTGTATTTTGATATAAATATATATATATTAATTTTAAAATACAGTTAGAATAAAATTTCATATAGATATATAATTTTTTTTTATTTTTTTATTATTATTTTAAATTTTTTTTATTTAATTTAAATTACTTATTATTTATATTTTATAATAATATATATATACAATATATATAGTTATTATATATATTATATATATACGTGTGTAATTTAATTATAAGTGTATTTTTATATTAATATAAGTACATATTAATATAAAAATACACTTAGTATGACTATATATATATATATATATATGATATATAGACATATATTATATAGGTATGTTGTAGAATTATTAGGCCTCTATAAATCTGTAAGGCCCCTTTAAATCCTCTTGTTATACCTCTAAGAGGCCCCCATAGTTTTACAAGGAAGCTTTGTCTATAGAACATAGAATTTGCATGTCAGCAAGAAATAGCTTTGATAAAATGTGTATTTACTAAAATCCTTGAAACTTAACCTTGAGAAACTAACAAGTGCCAGCTACGCTCCAAATGGATAGCTGCCAAAAGGCCCCTCCCGTCGAGTGAGCTCCTCATTTTAGCAAGATGGCGCTAAAACCTGTAGGAGTTAAGAAATTACGTAGATAGTGACCTAAGAATGGGGAGGGCATTTTACTAACATCTTAGCACCTAAGCCAATTAACAATGTCTATTTGTCTATATCTTGATTTTCTTCAATGATGTAATAATGCCTTTATAAGGGTCTGCGCACCCATTTTTCTGTCAGAAGCCATTAAACTTCTCTGAAGTTCTTTCATTACCCTGAACCTTGTGTCTCAGTGTGAATTTACTTCTGCGTGCACGCAACTTTATTATCTTTAATTTGGACAGGAACAGATAGTCATTCAAACTAATTGGTTTGCAGTAAATCATCTAGAACAATTGGCTCTCAACGTGGGGCTCTGGGCTATGTCCAGTCTGGGCAGCTGTCCAAGAAGACGCTGGGGGGGCTGAATCCTGGGGGAAGGAAAAGAGCCTGATCACCTCTGAATACACGGTAGAGATTGCTGCAGCACCTAGCCGGTATGTTCCTACCCCTGTGATTGACCTGCCCCAGTGTCTGTGACTGCTGCCGAGAGGACATCAAAGTCAGGTAATAACTTGCCCAGAGTCTTTGTATTGTTAATGATACCTAGTTTACCTGCATGTTGACTATCTGTTGCCTGGGTGTGTTTGTATTGGTATGTGTTTAACTTAGTACCCGGGGAGTGTAAGTGCCTGTTTAACCCCTTTTAGGTACCACATGCCTGTGGTAGTAAGGAAAAAGGGGGGTGGACCTGTGGAAGTTTTCCTGGGGGTCCTCTATTGCCTGTTTAACTCTTTTAGGAGCCACGTGGCTGTGGCTGTAAGGAAAAAGAGTAGGGGGGATCTGTGGAGGGCAGTAGACTCACTGCTTCCTGGGGATCCCCAGAGTGTCATTTTGACCGCTTAGCTAGCCTCATCAGACACTTCTTCTTGGTAAAATTCCAGTCTCAAGCGCTGAGACAGGTAAGATTCCAATTCTTTAGGCTATACAGGATTCGGGTTGGAAGCTGTTGCTGTTTCCTGTGGCTGCTGGTAGTGAGACTTGCGGGTGGGTCCGCAACAGGGACACTACGAGGTTGAGGGAGGTGGCTTTTGGCCACACGAGTAAAGGCAAGGGATAAAACTGTTGAACTTATTTGAACTGTGATGCATGCACTGTATTTACACTGAAATGTTATTGTCTTAATTGTCTGTCACACAGATTCCTGTGTTTACTTCTATCTTACTCACTGTACTATTTACACTTTCCCCTCCTATTTCTCTTTCTCTTTGTTGAGAGAAGTGATTGGTCACACACTTCTCGCCACGCTCCAATCCGCGGCTACCACGGGTAGGCGGAATCAGTGACTAGTCTACGTTTTGGGAAGACGTACTTAAAGAGCTTGCTCTTAAAGTAGCAGTCGAGCACGGTAGACGTTCTGTTCCTTTCTCTCTCTATATCTGGGACGCCTTGTATAGGGAGGATGGGACAGAAGTTAGATAAACCCAGTAAGGGTTGGTTAGCATGTGATCTAGTGGAAGACAGAGAAGGAGAAGAGATGGTTAAGAAAGTGAGTAAGATTGCTAAAGTATGTGGAATTACCGTACCTCTGTGCGGCAGATTGTAGCCAGAGAGCTGGCGTAAGTTACTGACAGAAGAAAGGGAAGCTGTCGGACCAAGATTTGGTTTGTACAGCAGAAGCCTGGTACCGAGTAGCAAGAGCTATTCAGCAAAAGGGATAGGTTGAGGAAGATATTGATCACAAAGGTTTAAGATTGTATGTATATCATAATAATTGTGTTACTGGGAAGTTATCCCAGCAGTGCCCTGTCCAGGAGGTGACCACTTCCATCATCCTGTCAGTAATGACCGAAATGTAGCTGACCATGGTCACCATCCCACCCCAATCTTAAAACGCTGTGGGGTTTTTGTATTTTGTGTTAGCCATTACCCTGGTAGAGGGTGGGGGTATAAATGAAATGTTGTGTTTTTGTGTCTCTTTGCTTTGTAATGTAATTGTCCTTCTGTCTTGTTACTGTACAGCGTTGACATGGTTAAATTCGTGCTGGCAGGCAGTCTCTCTCTTGTTCCACTCAAATCCCCCTCTGCTAAAACACCCCCCCTCCCCTCGCTTCTGTGAGACGCGGGGGGGGGGGCGGAGGGGGCGGAGGGGGGTGGTGACATGCTTGCGATTTAGGTCTGTCTCTTCGGTGTTCTGTAGAGTTATTCAGAAGCTACTGATAAGAGTATAAGGTACTGAGGATTGTGGGAGTGACGAGCTCACAAGATTGCATTCAGTGTTGAATACGGGATTTAGGAAGGTGTAGAGGGAATATGCGATGTTGTTAAGTCAGTATAAGAGGAGGAAAGTGATTAATGGTTTGAGGAAGATAAGGGAATTTGGTTGAATTCCGCGAGTTTATTTTGCATCATTTTATTATTTTAAAGTTATTTTAAAGTACATGTTTCTAGAAACAGCTGTATGGGCTGTTAAATGCATAATGTTCTCAACTGTCTTATTTAACCTGCCAGGTCTGTTCATAGTTTAGTATTCCATTTTGCAGAACAGAATGTTGCTTCTCTGACTTATTTTAATAGTTTTAATATAGTGTATGGTTGAAAGTACATCAACCACCACTCTAAAGATGGCGCCTGCCAGTCCCGTGACCTATCCACAGTCACGGTTGCTTCTAAAGTAACGTCACTTCCGCCCTTACCATGCCCACACCTCCTGTCTTCCTTTCCCACACCTATCATGGACGTCATCTCACTTCCTCCCTTGCTGTCATTTCCTTCCCCGCCCCTGTCATGGCTGCCTCCATCATGAGGCCTACCCCTATTATGCTCGCCCCATTTAGATAATTACTAAAACAATCATGCCATTTGTTTCCCTGTATCAACAATTTGTCCGTGATATAAAAAAAAAAAAAAAGAAGGTTGCTAAAATGTAATTTGCAAATGTGGTGTGACCTACATATGAAATCTGTTGGACACGAATATAAGAGCATAACAGCTGATTATCCAGATTAATCTTGCAACAAGGGAAATAGCCAAATAATGCAAGTTATTTTAAACATTGTATCTTTGCTTAATCGAATCTTGCTAGTTACAGATCGTAGGTTTACAGTAACATCCTTTACTTTAAATGATGGTTTAGCATTAGAAGGGTTTGTGGCATGTTTTATTAACCCAGCCACTACTGGTTGTTTACTTAGTTACAGGGTGGTATAATTGTTATAGTCTAATTAATATAAATGATAGTACCGCAATAGTTAATGTTTTATCCAAAGACATATAGGAACTTTACTTAACTTACTATTAACCATTATTTATAATGATAGACATGTTCAGACTGCAAAAAGCTATGGCTAATGACATACAAAAGGGGTTTGAGTCAGTAACACAGCCCATACTGAGGAGAGCAAACCCGCTGATGCTTAATGCCCCTGCCATGGCAGTGTTTTCAGGGGAACAAGGGGGGCCTCTAGCTACTGTAATTTTACCCATTGAGGGAAGTGTTCTGAGAGAACAAGACCTGCCTGATACCTCATTTCTTTCCAATATTGATGTCTCCTGTGTTGGGGTGGACGGCCTTCCAAGGCTAAGTCCCCTGTCCACCCCACTGCGGGTTGGTAACTGCCACAACTTGCTTGCTCGCTTTGTGGTATCTTCCACATGCCCCATTAACCTGTTAGGAGCTGATGTTCTTTCACGCCTGCAGGCATCCATCACCTTTACTCCAGATGGACAAGTGGAACTATCCACCCCTCTATCTGTCTCAGACACCTCAACGTTTTCATGCAGGGTGCAGGATTTTGAGACAGGACTGGTTTTGGGATGTAGGGGCTGGTGTTGAAGCGTGCAGGTTTGGTTTGGACTCAGGTCCGCTGGTGATGTCAGGCAGGTATGCGTGTGTGTGGCTGCATGCATTTGTTCAGGGCTGGCTGTTGGAGGATGCATTCAGATGTGCCATTACGTTTTGACAGGACTTCAAAGTGGTGGACAGTTGATTTCGATTTGGTTTTGGAAGGTGGATGTGATTTGGATAAACATTATCCATGGACATTTAAGGACACAAAATTCACCAAGTCAATTTGCGAAGGCCATGTGCTCTATCCTTGATCCATGGCAATCTGACCATCCTGAGGTCGTCCTGCTTCAATATGTGGATGATTTGCTGCTTTGTGGAGATGATATACCCACAACAGAACAATGCTCACTTAATCTTCTTTGCTACCTAGCAGAACAAGGATGTAAAGCTTCACGTCTCAAGCTACAATTCTGCCAACCTACTGTTATTTTCCTTGGCCATTGTCTGTCTCAGGGAACCAGACATCTTACCCGTGACCGAGTTAGAGCGGTACTGGACATTCCACCTCCAAGGATCTCAAAGTCACTACACGCCTTCCTAGGCCTCATTTCCTATTGCCGAGCATGGATCCCAGAAGCCTCGCTCCTTATGCAACCTCTTTATGATGCTCTCAAGTCAGACCCATTTTGCTTGTCCACAGAAGCCCTTGACAACTTCTGTTCTCTCAAACGTGCTATTACTTCTGCTCCTGCTCTTGGCCTACCAGACTATACCAAACCCTTCAAATTGTTTGTTTCTGAAAGACAAGGCCATGCAACAGGAGTACTCACTCAGGCCCATGGTCCTGGAGGTCGCCAAAGGCCTATTGGATTTTTCTCCTGCCAACTGAATATTGTGGCCAGAGGACGTCCCTCTTGCCTTCGGGCCGTCTTTGCTGCCAGAGAGCTCATTGAAAGAACTGGAGATCTTGTCCTTGGCCACCCCCTGGTTGTCTTGGCCCCCATGACATTTCTGCCATAGTCAACCAGGTCCAACTTAAGCATGTTACTCCTGCTAGGCATCTTCGCCTTCAATGTCATCTTTTGTTGCCTGACAACATTACCCTCCAAAGATGTCAAGTTCTTAATCCGTCCACTCTTCTGCCACTCCCTGAGGGGGGTGTATACTACGGATTCATCATGGACGAAACTTATGTTTTTCTTCTCACTGGCACCATCAAGAAGGAAATGCATCCCAGCCTATCCTTTCATGATGGACAAGCACTCCTTCATGACGGAGCAGGATATGCCTTCTGTACCATGTGGTACAAACCAAACATCACTCCTGAACCCTGCTATGAAGATGAACTCTATAAGCTGGTTGAAGTAAAACTCACTGCACAAGACTTCTACTGTGATTCTGAAGGCAACAGTATGGTCTTGATTCATCTACCTCCGGAACTCAAGCATTTGTACCGTCATTGGGACACTGCCATTCCACATGTCCCTGTGACCAAGTTGAAAACAATATCATGGAATGATCTTGGGCGTATGGCAAAAGCATGGGCCACTATGGACGAATCACAGCTACAGGAAAATGGTGTTGTCAAATATCCAACAACTGACCCTAAAAGCATGGCCGCGTCATTTCCTGGAGAATGAGTTCCAAGATTTAACCATAGTGAATGACTACGACCCAGATACACCTCATGACTGTTTTGAACAGATGAAAATGGAAACAACACATCTACCAACTGTGCATGAAGACCCATTGGTAGATCCCGATCTCACCCTGTTTGTGGACGGCTCAAGATATGCTGATGAAGAAGGAAGATACCATACAGGATATGCAGTAACCACAACAGATGAAATTGTCAAATCATCATCTTTACCATCAACTATGTCTGCACAAGAAGCTGAATTGCAAGCCCTGACTTCAGCATGCAAGATCTCTGAAGGAAAGCGCGCCAATATCTACACGGATTCAAGATATGCACTGGGCGTGGCTCACAACTTCGGATTAATTTGGAAAACAAGAGGATTTCTTACCACCGCCGGCACACCAATCAAGCACGGTTCCGCAATCAAGGAGCTGATGGACGCCCTCCTACTCCCAGAAGAAGTGGCTATTTTAAAGATAAAAGCACATGGGAAGTTGGACTCAGATGAAGCAAAGGGCAACCATCTAGCTGATCAGGCTGCAAAACAAGCTGCAAGAGAACCACAGGAAGTGGAAAGAAGAGTGTCTGGAAATGAAGAAACTCCCATATTTACTCTGCAGACTCTTCCAACTGACCTGAAAATCCTGCGGGAACAACAGGCTACAGTTGCCCCTGAAGAAATACAGAAGTGGAAACAGAAAGGGGCAGTTCTGAAGGATGGAGTGTACTCCAACAACCTCAATTTCTGCCTCCCTAAGAATTTGTACCCAGCAGTCGTACAATGGGCACACAGACCTGCACATTTATCAAAAGATCTAATGAATGCTCTTGTACAAAAATACTACCTCATTGTCCCCATATGAGATTCTATTTGGGACTGCACCTAGGCTAGGTTGCTATTTTCCCCAACAACTACAACTTCAAACTGATGTTTTAGTAGATTATGTAACTGAACTCGCAAATGCTTTGAACAAAATCCATGTCCAAGTTTTCTCTAAAATTCCAGATCCTGATTCTGACACAGGCAACCACAGTCTGCTCCCCGGTGACTGGGTTCTTGTCAAGAAATTTGTGCGAAAACACACCCTGGAACCAAGATTTGACGGACCGTTCCAAGTTCTCCTGATCTCCCCTACCTCTGTCAAATTGGCCGGAAGGCCTAACTGGATCCACGCTTCCCACTGCAAGAAGACACCTGCCCCAGAGGAAGCTAACTCTATGCAACCATGTGCCTCTGGTACAGTATCTCCTTAGTTGGCCTCCTTAAAGCCCAGCAGGTGGCCATCACCAAAGATGCTAGTGGGTACACCTTCTGGTATAATTCATCATGTACCCATGTGGCTACATTCACTTTTGATTACTGTGATATTGTAGAGTGCCCATTCCCTAAGTCACAGATTCAAGCCATTTATAAAGAGATACCACAAGCAAAAGACCCTTACGTTTGTGTAGTAGATGAACAATGGGGTTATGACTGTAACTACTGGGGGGCTGCGGGATGGAATACTGGGCCTGCCTGGGGTTATAAACCAAAAAGTGCTTTATCTAAGATAGACAATCAGGGTAGATCCCTCCTTCAAAGAATGACTTTAAGAAAGCCTGGAGGAAGTACCCCTATGAAATTAATGTTAAATATTGAACATCCTGGCCCCGAGGATGCAGACCGATATGTAATGGGAATGTATTGGAAGAAAGGTTCCTACAACAAATTAGGTCATTTCTACCTCAGAGATATGTCCCACTCTCCAGAGTGGCAAGGGGCTGATCATATGGTCCCAAATCCGCTAAAACCACATATCTAGTCCTTTAAAGATATGATGGCCATCGCTAACCCCACTTTTGAAGATACCATGGCCGCTGAAACTGGATTCAATGACATTAATTTGTGGTTAGAATGGATGAGGTATAATGCTAACAAACATAATAAAACAGCATGTTATGTATGTGGCGGTGCCCGACCCCACCTTGGCACCGTCCCGCTAACTCTCCCTTTAGAGATAGAAGATTGCTTCTTAAGCCTTTTTTGCCTACCAATATGACTTTAATAGGTCCCTCTGCATGGCATGGACGGCAGAATACCCTCTCTTAGTTGAAAATGTTAAGCCACCAGATGGAGTCACAGTCTATAGAGGTAATTACACTTGTTATGCCATGTATGACGGGATTGGTAAATTCATGGGTAACTTTTCTAAAGGTTATTGCGCCACTTACAGTACTGTTCCTATACGCCTGTTGCAACACCATACCAGGTCATTGGGGGATATTTACTGGTTATGTGGGGATCTACAGTTAAGATCTAGGCTGGAAACTGAGTGGTGGGGTGAGTGTACCCTCGCCAAAGTTATCATGCCCATTCATATTATTTCTGATAATCATCATGACACATACGACCCTCCACATACACCAGCCAGAGTGAAGCGCGAAACCCCAGTAAAAGGCAGTTTTGACCCCCACATTTACATAGATGCCGTTGGGGTACATAGGGGGGTGCCTAATGAATTTAAAGCTAGAGATGAAGTAGCTGTAGGTTTTGAATCACTTTTTACCATAGTCACTGCCAACAAAAACCTTAATTGGATTAATTATATCTATTACAACCAACAGCGCTTCGTGAACTACACCAGGGATGCCCTCCAGGGCTTGGCCGAGCAATTACAGGCCACATCCCAAATGACCTTCAAGAACAGACTGGCCTTAGACATGATCTTAGCCGAAAAAGGGGGGTCTGTAAAATACTTCCCGACACTATGACTTGTTGCACTTACATTCCAGAAAACACAGGTCCTAATGGTAAAGTCACTCTGGCCATAGCTAAATTAAATAGACTCTCAGAAGAGCTAAAGAGAAACTCTGGAGTTACTGATCCCTGGGAAAAATGGTTTGGTTGGATGACTGGTTGGCAGAGAGCTTTAGTCCAGATTGGTATTGCCTTACTAATTTTTCTTTTTATTCTCGCTCTTCTCATTTGTTGTGTCCTCCCATACCTAAGGAAATTCCTGCAGAAAACTGTAGACCAAGCAACACCAACCTTCACTCATCTGACAATCGATGATCAAGACCTCATCTCACCCTGTATTCCGCTACAAACTCTCCCTTATACTGATGAAGTGCAGAAAGTCTAGGAAGGGACAGTACAGGGACAGCGTCCGTCTTTATGGGTAGACTGCCGTACGGAGAAGTAGTGGATAAGCCACTATGGGTTACCAGCGGAGTGAAGAGTGTTCCTGAACCGTACTGACGGATGTGCTGCAGCCTGGTAGGGTCAAGAGAGGGATAGACTTGCACTTTGCATTAACACTAAGTCAGCGGTCATGGGGTTTCTGTGTCTTTGGGCTAATACTTCTTCTGATACTAACAAGTAAAGTTTTGTCTTTTAGCAAATAACATTTTAGGGGGGACTGTTGTAGAATTATTAGGCCTCTATAAATTTGTAAGGCCCCTTTAAATCCTCTTGCTATACCTCTAAGAGGCCCCCATAGTTTTACAAGGAAGCTTTGTCTATAGAACATAGAATTTGCATGTCAGCAAGAAATAGCTTTGATAAAATGTGTATTTACTAAAATCCTTGAAACTTAACCTTGAGAAACTAACAGGTGCCAGCTACGCTCCAAATGGATAGCTGCCAAAAGGCCCCTCCCGTCGAGTGAGCTCCTCATTTTAACAAAATGGCGCTAAAACCTGTAGGAGTTAAGAGATTACGTAGATAGTGACCTAAGAATGGGGAGGGCATTTTACTAACATCTTAGCACCTAAGCCAATTAACAATGTCTATTTGTCTATATCTTGATTTTCTTCAATGATGTAATAATGCCTTTATAAGGGTCTGCGCACCCATTTTCTGTCAGAAGCCATTAAACTTCTCTGAAGTTCTTTCATTACCCTGAACCTTGTGTCTCAGTGTGAATTTACTTCTGCGTGCACGCAACTTTATTATCTTTAATTTGGACAGGAACAGATAGTCATTCAAACTAATTGGTTTGCAGTAAATTATCC